ATCCTTCCATTTTCTGATATCTTCTTCAATTTCTTTCTTTAGAGATTTAAAGTTCTTATCATTCAGGTCCTTCACTTGTTTAGTTAGTGTTACCTACCTTGGGTAACCAAGGTAGGTAACACTAAACAAGGTGGCTATTGTAAAGGGTGATGTTTCTCTGACTTCTTTCTCAGCCCTTTTATTATTTGTGTATAGGAGGGCTACTGATTTTTTGAGTTGATCTTGTATCCTGCCACTTTACTGAAGGAGTTTATCAGCTGTGGGAGTTCCCTGGTAGAATTTTTGGGGTTACTTATGTATATTATATCATCTGCAAATAGTGAAAGTTTGACTTCTTTTCCAATTTGTATCCCTTTGATCTCTTTTTGTTGTCTTATTGCTCTAGCTAGAACTTCAAGTACTATATTGAATAAATATGGGGAGAGTGGACAGCTTTGTCTTGTTCCTGATTTTTGTGGTATGGCTTCGGCACTCGGGTTGTTGAGGCAGGAAAATTGTGAGTTTAAGTCCAGACTGGACTACATGGCATGACTCCGTCTTATTTAAAATACTTGCAAAACAAATCACTCCTAGACTGAACATGTGGACATCTGTCCTTACTACATGAAAACTATTTATACCATATTTGTGTCGAATTTAAAGTGGACTAGAACATGTGTGTAAGTTATATATGCAAATATGCCATTTCCCTGGAAGTGATTTCACTATGCTTCAATTCTGGTATCCATGGCAGGGGGGCAGAAACCTGGTACCAGTTGCCTGTGGATATGGAAAAACAGCTGTATATAGCTGTTGCTTATGCAAGATGGCTGACTTTGAAGAGTTGGAAAGCCAGGACCTCTGGCATGGGCAAGTCAGTGTCAGGACAAGGACACAGGCCAATGCTAAGTCCACTTCTTCTGCTGACCACCCTCATCACCAGGACCGAGCTTCCTTTTCTTTCTTCCTTTCTTCCTTTTTAAGTTTTGTTTGTTTTGTTTTCGAGACAGTTTCTCTGTGTATCCCTGGCTGTCCTGAAACTCATTCTATAGACCAGGTTGGCCTTGATCTCACAGATCTGCTAGTGCTGGGATTAAAGGCATGCACCACCACCATCACCTTTTTTTTTTTTTAAGTTAACTTACATTGTATGAGTATAGGCATTTTGCTTGCATTTATATCTGTGCACTATGTTTGTGCCACAAGAGGCCAGAAGAGGACATCAGAACTGGAGTTAGACCATTATGAGCCATTGTGTGGATATAAAGAATGGAATCCCAGTGCTCTGGAAGAAAAGCAAATGCTCTTAACCAATAGCATTTCTCTAGCCTTCACTTGGGTCCCTTATATACTGTAACCTCTTAGGAGGGTCCTAGTGGTAGAGCTCAGTGGATACTGCTTTAGCCAGTTGAGACCAAGAAAATGATAGAGCAATAAAATGTTGGCCCTGGGGACTGGAAAGATGGCTCAGTGTGTAGAGGCCCTGCCTAGAATCCCCCAGTGAGGGGATAGGGATGGCTCAGTGGTAGAGCACCTGCCTAGAATCCCCCAGTGAGGGGCTGGGGTGTGGCTCAGTGATAGAGCACCTGCCTAGAATCCCCCAGTGAGGGGCTGGGGTGTGGCTCAGTGGTAGAGCACCTGCCTAGGATCCCCCAGTGAGGGGCTGGAGTGTGGCTCAGTGGTAGAGCCCCTGCCTAGAATTCCCCAGTGAGGGGCTGGGAGTGTGGCTCAGTGGTAGAGCCCCTGCCTAGAATCCCCCAGTGAGGGGCTGAGGTACTGCTCAGCAGTAGAGCACTAGCCTAGAATGCTCAATGTTTTGAGTTCCATTCCCTGCACTGGAAAAAAAAAATGCGGAGAGGAGGGCTCAAAGGCACATTTGTACCCATCACCTGCCCTGGAACCCACAGGGAATTTACACTGTGGCTGGGAAATTACCAGCCAGCCTCACTTTACACCTCTCCTCACACGAATCTCCCTCCCACCTGGCTACCATTCACTGCCGCACACATTTGATGCACACTCTAACAGACCACAAGCCAAACAGACCTCATTTTCTGACCCTCTTCACAGGACCCAGGAGACCATGAGTACCTCCAGGCTCTACACCCTGGTGCTGGTGCTGCAGCCTCAGCGAGTTCTCCTGGGCATGAAGAAGAGGGGCTTTGGTGCTGGCCGCTGGAATGGCTTCGGGGGCAAAGTGCAGGAAGGAGAGACCATTGAGGATGGGGCTAAGAGGTGAGGAAAAGGGAGGTCCGACCACAGTACCAGCCTGGCAGGGGATGAAGACCTGGAGAGGAGGAAACACCCCTGAGACCCACAGATGCTATGTAGACAAGGCAGGCTTTGAACTCATGGAACACCTGCCTTTACTTCCAGAGTGTTGGGATTAAAGGCATATACCACCATGTCCAGCTTATAAATTTTTTAAAGGGTCTTTCTGCATACGCCAGTTGGCCTATAATTATCAGTTGGCCTTTAATTATGTAGCCTAGGTTGGCCTCAAACCCCAAACCTTCCTGCTTCAGCTGCCTCAGTGCTGGTACTATAGGTGTGAAATGCCATGCCTGAATTTATGTTTAGTTCCTAAATTGGATATAGCAACGCCTCTGCATGATATCCTCCTAGAACATGCGGCCCACAGGTCCTGAGGCTACACTCCCGCCGCCCTGGCCCTTGTAAGCATGGATGCCATGCTCACGAGCTAATGCCACATCTCCCTTACCCATCTCTGCTGCAGGGAGCTGGAGGAAGAGAGTGGTCTGACCGTGGATGCCCTGCACAAGGTGGGCCACATCTCATTTGAGTTTGTGGGGTCCCCTGAGCTGATGGACGTGCATGTCTTTTCTGCTGACCACGTACATGGGACACCCACGGAGAGTGACGGTGAGCCTCGGGCCCTGCTCCCCTCTTCCCGGCCATGGGCAGGGAGGTGCACCCGGCCTCGGAGAAAGGACAGCCCTTGCCAAGTGTGGGCCCCACGCCTGCCCATGTTCTTCTTTGCTTGTCCTCAGAACCAAGGCAGTCAGGCAAAGCAGCTCTGTAGCCCAATATGAGCCCCATTCCCCGCCCCCTTTTTTGAGACAGGGTTTGTGTGTGCAGCCCTGGCTGCCCTAGGACTGGCTCTGTAGACCAGGCTGGCCTCAAACTCAGGCATGTGCTACCGCTACGTGGTAAGCCCGTTTCTTTATTTCATGAAGTATGGAAACCAGTCACACATATTAGTACATGCCTTTTTATCCCAACACGCAAGAGGAAGAGACAGGGGTATCTCTGTGAGTTCAAAGCCAGCATGATTCACATTGTGAGACCCTGTCTCAGAAGAAGGAGGTAGAGGGAGGAGGAAGAAGAAATAATAATAATAATAATAATAATAATAATAATAATAATAATAATAATAATAAAAGAGCTGGAGTGTGGCTCATTTGGCAGGATGCCTGACTAGCAAGCATAAGAACCTGAGTTCTACCCTCAGCAGTGAACCAGGTGTGGTGTTGCATGTCTATAATCCCAACACAAGAAATGTAAACAAACAAGAGATAACCAGGTGTGGTCATGCAGGTCCATAATCACAGCGTCTGGGAGGCCGAGGCAGAAAGACTGAATCTGAGGACATATTGGGCTGCAGAATGGATCCTACACCAGCCTGAGCTACATGAGGCTGTCAAAACCAAGAGATGGTCATGAGGATGAGATATAAAATTAGACCAGGCTCCTTTCTTAATAAGCCAGGTATAGTGGCACACATTCATAATTGCAGCACCAAGAAAGTTGAGGCAAACCTGCCATGAATTCAGGACCAGCCTGGGCTCCGTACTGAATTCCAAGCCAGCCAGAGCTCCAAAGAAAGTCCCTGTATTAATGAAAATAAAGCAGGCATGGTGGTACTACACCCCTGTAAACCAATCAGGAAGCTAAGGCAGGAGGATTGCTACTTATTCCAGACCAGCCTGAGCTACAATATGGACACTTGGTTTAAAAAAAAAAAAAAAATCCAGGGGATGGAAAGATGGCTCAGGATGGAAAGATGGCTCAGAAGTTAAGACCACTTGCTGCTCTCACAGAGGACCACTTGCTTTTTCCAGTTCCAGGGGGATCCCATCCCCTCTTCTGGTCTCTGCAGGTACTGCATGCACATGGTATACAGGCAAAACACCCATCCTTATAAAATCATTTTTACAAAATGCTTAAAGAAGAGAGAGATTGGATGGCTGGTTCAGCAGTTAAGATCACATATTGCTCTTCCAGAGAACCCAAATTTGGTTCCTGGCTTCCACACCAGGTGGCTCACAACTAACACTAGCTTTAGGGGGATACAAAGTCTCTGGCCTCTATGGGCACTTGCACGCATATGCTTACACCCACACACAGATATACATACATATATGCAGTCAAAAATAATACAAAACAAGTAACAACCACAATAGTCCAAACAGCTAGAGAGGGAACTCAACATTTAGGAGCACTTACTGGTCTTCCAGAGGACCCAAGTTCAGTCTCCAGCACCCACAGTGGGCAGCCGATGACTAGTTGTAACTCCAGCTCCTCTCTGGCCTCCTCTGACACCCACACATGTGGGCGTTCATTCACACAGACATACTCAGATACATAGCAGATCCCTGCATTCAAGGCCAGCCAGGGCTACTACACAGTGAGACCGGGTCTCAAACAAATCAAAAGTCTCCAAACCGGTGTTCACACAGATTCAGGGGGTAATCCCTCTCGGGCTGGCTGAAATCCATGTTCAATATCAACGTTCTTCCTCCTCCTCATCCCCCTACACCGCAACAGAAATGCGCCCTCAGTGGTTCCAACTGGACCAGATCCCCTTTGCGGACATGTGGCCCGATGACAGCTACTGGTTCCCACTCCTGCTTCAGAAGAAGAAGTTCTGTGGGTACTTCAAGTTCCAGGATCACAACACCATCCTCAACTACTCGCTGCGTGAGGTGGATGGATTCTAACACAGGGGTCTGGCCAGTTCTGGCCACACTCAGGTGGCTGCACAGCCACAAGCTCTCAGTCCAAGGGTACCACAAAGAGGGACTGGTATTTTCTGTTTGCAAAGTGTTGAGGTTGGGATGTGAAATGTCACTGGTAGACTAATGCGTGAATACTTCATCTTCACCTACTGGTCTTGTTTTGGAAGGTTGTGGCACCTTTAGGAAGCAGAGCACCGATGGGGAAACTGAGTCACTGGGGGTCAGAGAGATGTGGGATGGGCCTTAAGGTTTTATAGATAGGTATAGAATATTATTTTAAGATGTGTTACATTTGTTTATGCTATGGAACATTTGTTTTAATGATGCAAAGATGTGTTGCATTCTTTTATGTTGCATTTGTTTAACTCTGTGAAGCTGTGTTACTTTGCCTGTCTAAAACATCTGATTGGTCTAATAAAGAGCTGAACGGCCAATAGCAAGGCAGGAGAAAGGATAGGTGGGGCTGGCAGGCAGAAAAATTCTTGGACCAGGAACCTCACAGATGCCACTGGTTATCAGTGGATCTTGAAAGCATGCTGTGACATTTCACACCGCATCCTAACTATTCCTACGTGCTTCAAAGAAAACCATTTCTCCCTCAGAAAGAGGGAGCCTTTTAAGGAAACCCAACAGGAAAGCTGGACCCAAGGCTCGGCAGTACTGCTCTTGCAGAAGATCAGAGTTCAGTTCCCTGCACCCGTGATGGGCAGCTCATAACCACCTGTAACTACCTTCAGAGGAGCTGACACCTTCTTCTGGCCTCTGTAGGCACCAGCACCCACGAGCACATTCCCACATACATATACATGTAATTTACAATAAAATATACACACTGGATCATACTCAAAAGCCAAATACATTGTTAGCTGAAGCTCCCTAAACCTAAAGGGGTCCAGATGTTAAATGCTGAGAGAAGGGCAGAATTGCAGCCTTCTCTTGGATTCATCATTTAAATAAGTGCATGGGGTGGGAGTGCTGTTCCTGTGAGTACAGGTACCATGGAAGTCAGAGATGGTGATTCCACTGGAGCTGGAGGTACAGGACATTGTGAGCAAACTGATGTGGGGACTGGGAATTGAACTCGGGTCCTCCGAAGAACAGCAAGTGCTCCTAACTGCTGAGCCATCATCTCTCCATCCCTTACGTCAGTTTAAACTGTCAACTTGACGTAATTTAGAATCACCTGGGAAGAGCATCTCAGTGAGGGACTGTCTAGATTAGATTGGACGTGTCTGGGGGATTATCTTGATTTGTTAACTCAAGCAGGAAGATCTGCCCACCATGAGTGGCATGATTCCCTAGGAAGGGAACCCTGAGCATATGAGGGTGGGGAAAGCAGACATGCACGCTTTGATCGACTTTCTACTTAACTCTGGATGCAGTGTGTGCACATGGCTCAAACGCTCACACTACGACCCCCGACTCTCCCAGAGAGCATAGCATGAGCAGCTATGTTGCTTTTGTTAGGAATTTTATCATAGCAACTGATCTGGCACAAAAAAACAAAACAACAACAACAAAAAACCAAAAAAACCAAACCAAACAAACAAAAAAACCCTGCAGAACCTGACCTAGGGAGCCAGTCAGCTTAACAGAGTTACTTACAGGAGTGTGGGCCACAGCCCTGCAGTTCCACACTGTGCAGGGGGCTCAATGGGTCAGCATCGACTCCCCTTAGCAACTGCCACTGTGGGCACCACTGCCGGGAGGGACCTTGTGACCCACGTGCTTTTCAGATTTCTGAAACTCATAAATTTCGCAGATTTTCTGAGCCTGAGGAGCCTCCCTCCAGGAGGAAGCAGTGCTTCTACATCCAGGAAACTGCCCCATTGAACCACCAGACTAGGGGCAACTGCCCATCCCAAACTTAAGATTCCAGTTTCCAAGACCCATGGGGCCGTGTTCGTAGGGGTCTGTAGAGAGAAACAGCAGCATGGAGACCATCTGTAAACACTTCCAGTTTATTGGGTGTGGCAGTAACTGATTCCCCCAGTCCATAAAGTGCTTCATCCATCCCGCCGAATCCCACAGCACCAGACTCCTGACTCCCTCAGCCCAGAGTCCCCACAGCAGTGTCCCAGAGCCCTGCTGCCCCTGCCTACCCTCTTCAGGCTAACCCTGAGTAGGAAGCACCCAAAGGGACTGTTCCCTTCACTCCCACGGTGCTGGCCCTGGGCTGTCCAGTTAAAGCTGAAGCCGGCCCCCGCTCGGCCCAGGAGAAGGGACGAACAGGCGGGAGATCTGTCGATACTTGTGCTTCCCATCTTTCTGGCAGCCCAAAGCATGGCTGTGGTGTGGCATACAGGCTCGGGCAGCAGGATGCCAGAGGAACTCTGGTTCCCTTGCACCCTGGGGATGGAACCTCAAGTTTGGGGTCAGGCACCCACAGCCCACCCAGTCAGGGAGTGACTATGTGAGAAATGGCAGGCTCTACTGCCAGGCTCGGGCCCTAGAACACTAAAAGCGCCGGGGCGGGGGAGTGGGCGGGGCGGGGCGGGGGAGTGGGCGGGGCGGGGGAGTCGGCCAGGAAGGAAGCAGTTCACATCCAGGTGGAACCTGCTGCTTGACAGCTGGTGGGAAGTGGTCCACACTCTTGACCCTGAGGCCTGGGCACCCAACAGGGATGCCCATCTCCAGTGCTCCTCCACAACCCCTGCTCACTCTCACCCTCCAAAACCCAACACAAGAAAGGACCCAGAGCCCTCATCCACTGTGGACCTCGAGAAGCCTTGGACCAGGGATCCATAGACAGCACTGGAGTGAGACATGTCCTCCAAAGCACCAAACAAACCACTCGGCACTCACACTTGCCGCCTGGCCGCTAATACACCTCCCGGAATGTCTACAGGCCCTCGTCTGCAGACAAGGTCCCACCCTCCGAGACCGTCCAGCTCCTGCCAGGCAGTACTGCCAGGCCACAGGGCAGGCCAGCTCCCACTTCTTTGCTGCTAGGTTAACCCTAGGCTCTCCCAGCACTCAGGGACCCTTCCACACTCCCCTGGACACCACTGGCTGGCTACAAAAGGCCCTCAGCACTGTGGGCACTGGGCGCAATCCATTCTGAAGCACCCTAACTTCCCATCACCGACCCCATCAACAGGCCATGGGGCAGGCTGGGGGCACAGAGACCCCCTGCCCAGGAGCAGGGTGACACAAAGACCACCTGCACAGCCCACAGGCAGCTCAGAGCAGTGGCTGCTGCCTGCAGGGAATCAGCCAGGGACACACTGTTTGCAAAGAGGTTTTAGTGAGGCCACAGGGAGCTGTGTTGTGGGCCTTGCCACTAGTGAGGACACACGCCGTCCTCCTGCGGGGAGCGCGGTGGCGTCAACACGCTGTGAGGTCCAGCAAAGAGGCAGCTCAGCTTCGGCTTCAGGTCATTCCATACCTTGCTCATCTGCAAGAGAGAGAGAAAAAGGGAGGTGAGGTGAGCGGCCACAACCCGGTCCATGTCAAGCCAATTCCCGTTCTTTGTCATCTGGTGGTATAGACAGGAGGGCACTCACATCACACCCCCTCACATACCAGGCTCCACACCAGAGCTTCTGAAAGTGAAGGCAAATCACCCCCATTCCCTCAATGTGGACCCACCCTCTAGAGGCACAGATAGGGGGATTGCGAGTTCCAGGCTAGTCTGGGTTACATAGCGAGACCTAAAAATGAAAAACAGGGCTGGGATATAGCTCAGGCTTTGAGTGATTACCAAACATGCACAAGACCCCAAGTTTGACCCAATAGCAGCGCATATAAAATAAAGAAAGAAATAAGTAGAAATCTAGTAACTGCTCTACAACAGAGGATGATCCTCCTGCCTCCATCTCCCAAGTACTGACTGGGATTACAGATGGGCACACTGTAGCTGGCGTATGAGGCACTGGGGACGGAACCCTGGGTTTCGTGCATGCTAGGCAAGCTGTCTACCCACTGTGCAGGCTGACTGGCCTGGATGCTGTGAAAGCTACTGGGCAGGCCAAGTACCAGGAACTCTAGCAAACCAGAACATCTGCCTTGAACCACTGAGACTTCTCACCCAATGTGGACAGTCCAGCTACCATGTATCCCCCAAACCCCACAAATTAATGCCCCCTGGCATACCTCTGTGTGTTCCCTGATGGTAGGGACCAGCTGGAAGGAACACAGCCTCTGCCCATCACCTGTCATCACTGCCAACCAATGAAGGCTCCATCAGCCTGTAACCATGACACCCAGGCCAACATATGGAAGCTAGTGGAGTTGAACCTTTGTGCCATTTTGCAGAATTTGGAACCATACAGGTCAAAAGAGTATCTGCATGGCATGCATTAAAGCCCTGGGTTTAGATCCCCAGCACCACATAAGCCAGGTGTGTGATATGTAGGAGGCAGAGACAATATCCAAAATTCGTCAGGCCTTAAGAAGACTTGACAAGTAGAGATGCTCAGTGCCAACCTGAAGACCTAAATTCAGTCCCAACATAGAGCAGACAACCAAATGCTCTCTTGGAAGGAGATGAGGCTCCCATAGGCAGCAGGAGGCAACCGGGTCACTTGGAAAAGTCAAGCTAGGGAAGATGGGTGTCTGTGTGTGAGGGGCTACACGGGGCTACAAAAGCAGATGTGATCACACTGGCCCTCCAAATCCTAATCAGAAAAACCCTATCTTGCAGCGAGCCACCACTTAGCCGCATGCCAGGCTGAAGCAAACCGGCTGTCTCTCTCTCCCAAGGCAGGCTGGTGCTTTCTAGAGCAGCCGTTTCTGATGGGGTGAGGACAGAACTCACAGACACAGAAGGCCTGCTGGCTCGGAGTGTAGCCAACGCTGTCTGAGCCAGTGCTCCCCTCTGCTGCTGACACTAGGACTCTGAAGCAGGTTCCTCTGTAAAGCAGAAGCTTAGGAGGGCTAAAGTGATCGCCATATAAATCTGAGTTCGGATGTCCAGCACCCAAGTAAATGCCAAGTGGCCACAGTAGTAGCCCACAAAGGGAGACAGAAGATCCCCTGAGCAAGCTGGCTAGTTAACCTGGGTTCAGGCTAACTGCATATAAGGTGAGGAATGTTCAGGAAGACTATTCACATCAACGTGTGACCTCTACATACATGCACACACAACACATATGCATACAAAAAAAAAAAAAAGAACAACAAAAAAAAGGGAGGGGGATGTCCCTGGGAGTGGTGGTTCATGCCTTTAATCCCAGTACCCAAGAAACAGAGGCAGGCAGAGCTGCTCAAGTTCAAGAGCAGCCAGGTCTGTCTACGTAGTGAGATCCTGTCTCAAAAGGGGGCAGGAGACATTGGGAAGATGGCTCAGAAGTTCTGAGTACTTGCTGCCCTTGCACAGTGCCTGTTCCCAGCGCCCACATCAGGTGGCTCACAACCACCTGTACCTCCAGTTCCAGGGGACCTGACACCTTGTGGACTCCTGCATACATGTGATACCCATTAACTCATATGTAAACATAAATAATGAATAAATCATTTTTTTTCAAGATTTAAAACTGTGGGGCATACATGGGGTGCAGAGAGAAATTCAGATAAATAGAGCTTAAGCTATAAGCTGTTTACGCAGAGAATGGATACAAATGGTACCAGAGGAAGTTAGTTTAGGCTGTTTGTGCAGAGAATAGATACAAAGGATGGCTAAGAGGAAGCTAACCTGGGTTGTTTGTGTGGAGATTAAAGACAAATAGTGAGGAAGGAAATTAGCTCAAATTGTTTATACAAAAAACAGGAGATGATGTCAGGGCATAAACAACTTGTAAATAGGGTGACCTTTAAAATGATTGGTTGGTTCCTTCACCCCCTCCTAGGGTTTTGAGGTTTTCTGGTATAAAAGAGGCTTACTGCCCATCAATAAACGAGTTCTTGCTTGACTTGACTCCCTGCTGTGCCTGATTGTCTCCAGGTAAGAGGGAGGCTGGGGAACGGGTGAGTGGCACACACTTACCTTTCCTGGGTTCCAGGCCACCTCTTCACAGGTGACCTAAGTTCCCAGTGGGGCAGGTCCCCACATAAAACAGGGACTTAGTTGTTGGGGAGTTGGTAATGGGAGGGGAAGTGTAGCTGTCTCCAGACATCCACTCTGTAACTAGCCCCCAAAGAACTCATCTTACTCATCACAATGAACGTCAATGTAACATTAACTGGGCTGTTCTTATCACCCCAGTTGTCGGCCAGGTAGGCATTTGTTTTACAAGCATTAGTTTTACACACACACACACACACACACACACACACACACACACACACACACACACCAAAAAAAATCACACAACCAAGGAGCTAGACAGGTGCCATCTTTGAAGTGCTGCCTCAGCCCCACTGGTGAAAATGAGCACGAGTGGCAGACACAAACTGAGGTCCCAGAGCTTTAGGCCACTTGCACAGGGAGAGCACCCCAGGGCTTTCCATGACTGGAGTATTCATAATGATTCTTCCCCCAGTGGCTCCAGCAGCCATACCTAGAGGCAGCTGATAAGGAGCTTCTAGGAAACTCCTCTGTGGTACAAAGTGTTCCCAGCCAAACTAACCCCTACCCCCTCTTTCCCTCAGCTGTAGGGCCTGGAGATTCTGTATGCTTTCCAGACTACTAGAGTTCTTCTACAAGGAATGAACCTCCTGACATCTTTCTGATCCTGCTCACAAGGCTTCACTGTCACTTGTGGCCACACGAGAGGCTGGGATACCTAGGAACTGATCAGGCCAATGGGTATCAACTCCATTCTCGAGGTCACTGACTGCAGGCCACAAGCCAGGCAGCTGAAAACAGGATGACATTAGCGACAGCGGGGCCAGGGGTAACTCACCTCCTTGTGCCCTTGGATCTGGGAGTTCACGAAGGCCCCCAGGATGTGTGAGGTGAGAGGCAGGTAGACGTGGACGAGCTGCG